GGGAAAGAGATCAATTAATGTTAGTCTCCTTCCAGCTCCGTTCACCCCCTGGGGTTGGGAGGCCCTGCAACCAGGGCTTTCAGGAGGAACAGAAGTTGGATCCCAGAGCTTGACAAGCCCCTATTAAGCTTGCCCACTGTGGGCTCAGTGTTGCCCCCAGGTGATGGGGTGGGGAGCTGTGAGCAGAAATAGACAATAGCATGCCACACCTTCTAAGGCTGCCTCTCTGGCAGCACCCAAAATGCAAAGTGATCGGGAGAGCCCGAGACCATTCACAGGCGGAGAGAAGGCTGGAGTGGGTAGGTGGGAGGGGCTTCAGCGGGGCCCAGGCATCTCAGACCCTGCCTGAGTCCAGGGCATCTCTCCTCCTCCACCTTTGTTCTAACAATTTAGTGACAGTGAAACCATTAAAAACAACTAAAACCCTCCGAGAGGGGCCTTTCCCTGCCCCCCAGGCTGGGATGGGTGATTGAGGCAACGCTCTGGCTCTGGCCAGGAGGCCAGATGACTCATGTTCTCACACCTCTGATTCCGAGGCTTGGCAAAGGCCTGAAAAGCCCCCCACCCCCTCCCTGCTGAGCATGCAGCCCGGTCCAGGGTGGAGCTCAGGGCTGCCCACTCACCTGCCATCGCCATTCAAGGCTGTCTTGCACACGGCCCACTCATGCAGGCTGATGAGCAATTTCTGCCAGGAGCGCAGAGAAAGCTAATTGTCTTGTATCCACAATCTCCCGGGTGAGCGGGAGTTCACACTATCACGTGTACATTTCCCACCTGGGTTCCAAACTCCTGGTGCAGGGGGCATGTCTTACGTGCTTTTTGTGTCCCCATCGTGTGGGGTGTAGGACTGTGCGGGAGAGGGTATGTGTGAGTGGATACAAATAGTGAAACGTGTCGTCTTCCCAGAACCCCGCGTGTAAGCAGAGAAGGGATTTGGCCTCCTTTTGCAGGGAAAGCAACAGAGGCTCTGAGAGGTTGGGTGACTTGTCAGAGGTTGCACAGCTTCTACGGGCGAGGTCAGGATTCAAACCTGGGTCTTTGACTCCATAACCTGAGCCGCCAGCCCAGCCAACGCTCCCTGCCCTGCGATCAATGCCTGTCTCATAGGAGCAGAGTGCAGGGCCGGCCCAGCGTGCCCTTCAGAGATGGCCTGGGTCCGAGCTCCTTCTCCCTGGCTACCCTCAGACGCCCCTCCTAGGCTCCTGGCGGGAGTGACCTACTGGCGGGACCGCATAGGGAATACACGGTTCGCAGGTGAACGTGGCTGGGCCTGGAACCACAGGGCAAACAGAGCCAGCAGGCCTCACGCAGGCCCCGGCCTGCCTTCTGACTGGGGGCTGGGGGTGGTGCTCTTTGCCAGCACCCTGCCCACACGGCCTTCAGCCACAGGGGACAGAAGGCCCAGGACCTACAGTCAGGGAAGCAAGGTTGCCCACTCCAGGGGCCACGTTTTCTCTCGGAAGGGCTGGCTCTGCAGGCCCCACCTACCCCAGGCTGCTGCTCCGGATTGAGCAGAGTGAGGACCTGATTATTAAACTAAGCTCTGCAGACGCTGTTGTCAGGAGCCAGAGCTGCCCTTTCCTCCTCTCCAGCCCCGCCCCGCCCCAGAACACAGCCTGTGCTCCTGCCACATCTAAATTGCTGCTCCTGCAGCCTCTCACAGCCTCCGTCCTGAAATCTCCCCCTGCCCCCCCCCCGCGCCTCCACCTCACCCCTGGGAGCTGGGGTTCTGGAGGGGTGGGGGTGGGTGAGCAGGCGGTGATCGATTGCTCGGCCTTCGCAGCTTCAGTGCCAGGCCCCCCTGAGCTGCGCAGACAGATGGGCAGCATAATTGAGTGTAGCGTTGATAAACTCCGGCCTCTGCACCGGCAGATAAGCGCTGGGTGGAAGGGCTGCAGAGGGAGGGAAGCCAGCGCTCCGTCTGCGCACCTGGCCTCTGCCCCTCCTGGGAGGTGAGCATGGCCCTCACTCCCTCCTCTCACTTAATCACAGACAACTAGGACCTCAGAGCGGAAGGAGACTTCGGCCAGGGCGCGGGCGGCGTTTATCCAGTATTCTGGAGCCTGGATTCCATGCATGACTCATGCAAAGGGGGAGAGGCGAAGGGAGGGTCCTGGGCTTTGCAATCAGTTTGAACCTGGCTCTGCCCCTCGCTGTGCGACCTGGGGCAAAGTGGGTCACTCTCTGAGCCTCAAATGCCCAGGCTGGGACGTAGCTCACAGAATAGCTGTGGGCGTAAGGCAGAGGCCACGTTTCTTAGTCCCTTCATTTGCCCCTGATGTTGCCTCTTATTCCATCTTCTCTTCTTCTCATCTCTCATCATTTGTATTCAACTTTTAAAGAATATTATTGGGGTGTAACATTTGTACAGCAGAGTGCACAAATAACACTAATTCCAAGGGCACAGCTGCATGAATGTCTACATTTGTGGATATCAGTATAACTACCACTGAGCTCAAGACAGAAATATTTCCAGCCTTCTAGAAGGTTCCTGGGAAGGTTCCTTTCCAGTCCCATCCCGCCCCCCGTCCGGCATTAGCCACTGTCTTGACTTCTGTCACCACCAACCAGTTTCATCTTTGTTGTTGTTGTTAATCCTCCCTCGAGGATATGTTTTTTCCATTGATTTTTAGAGGGAGTGGAACGGAGGAAGAGAGACAGACAGAGAGAGAAACAGTGATGTGAGAGAGATACATCAATTGGTTGCCTCCCTCCTGTGCCCTGACCAGGGCCAGGAATCGAGCCTGCAACCAAGGTAGTCACCTTGACCGGAACCGAACCCGGGACCCTTCAGTCTGCAGGTCAGTGCTCTAACCACTGAGCCAAACGGACTAGGGCCAGTTTCATCTTTTTAACCCAGATTTCTCTTCCTTTTCCATCACAACTGGGGACATGGTCTTTGGAAACTTTAGGGAGTGCCAGAACTCCAGACTTGAAGTTCACCCAATTCATCCTTGTGTTCCTGAGGGCTCTGACTTCTCAGGGTCTCATGTGTCATCAGCCTTTTCCAGAAAGGGAGACTGAGTCCTCTTCCTCGCTCAATTCATAGTTCCTGTATCGGGAAATTGCTCTACGCCTTAGGGCCCTGATCTGGCTGGATCCTGCGGCCTGGGCCCATGAGTGCCAGGCTGCCTCGAGGCAGGATGACCTCCTGGCCCTGTGCACCCCTGTGACTCCCTTCCCTGAAGCCCTGCTGGGTCCTGCCAGTATCTGGTGCAGCGCTGCTCACCCCCTTTCTGCTTACTCCCCCTCCCGGTCTTCTCCTTAGGGCTCTAGGGCACTGCACGGAGGACATGCCCACAGGTGGTCAGGAAGGTGGGGCCCAGCCTCACTTCTAACCACCCCCAATGCCTCCACCTGCTTGTCTCAGAGGCTCCTCACACTCAACGTGCCTCAATCCCAGCATCTTCTCCATCTTCTCCCACCAAACCTGCTCTTGCTTCTTCAGCCCCATCTCTGTCAGGCAGCACCCCTGCCACACGCCTCCACGGCTGCAAAGCTCTGCCATCTTAACCCTTGCCCCCCCCCCACCGTGCTCTTCGGTCTCTCTTCCTCACCCTTAACTGAGCCTCTCATGCCATTCACCCCGTGCTCCCACTAAACCAGATTTGCTACTTCCTTTCACCCCTTGGGCATCTCAGGCCGCCTGCAAAGCAGCTTCAACTACCGAGCTCCTCTTCAGCCATCAAAACCCCTCCTAAATGCCCCCTCCTCCGAGGTGCTTTCCCCAGTCCCCTCTACAAGGGTGGTTACCCCACCCCCCCGCAGGCCCAGAGACCCTGGGACAGACCTCCACACAGCACCGTTCTCGCCTTCAGGCTGCAGGTGTGCCGTCCTGGCCAGGCTGTGGGCCCCTCGAGGAAACGATGCTCCGCTATGGACTTCTGTCTTTCCAGAGTGCGGTGCAGGGCAGACCTCCCCTGCAGGGGCGGGGCGTGCTCTACTGCCGTGAACTGTGAAGGGCAGCCCATTAGTGGGTCACGAAAACAGTTTAAAGTGGGTCACAATCTGCATTTTAAAAACAGAAATGAAAATAGAAACATCAGCGTGCATTGTATGTAGCTAGACTAAACATTGCCGAGTATCCCCCCTCTGTTTTACACACACACACACACACACACACGTACACTGTACAGGGACGTGATGAAAAGGCATGCACGTTTGGCCTTGGGTTGCAGCTACAAAAGCTGCAAAACCATTGTTCTACTGAGCATCCCCCGCTGGGTGAGTCCCTTCAGCTCTGGCTGACACCAGTGCAACGCACACACGCACACACGCACACACACGCGCACACGCGCTCACACTCACACACGCACACACTCACACACGCACACACACACACACGTACACTGTACAGGGACGTGATGAAAAGGCATGCGCGTTTGGCCTTGGGTTGCAGCTACAAAAGCTGGAAAACCATTGTTCCACTGAGCGTCCCCCTCTGGGTAAGTGAGTCCCTTCAGCTCTGGCTGACACCAGGGCAGATTTTAAAAACAGAAATGAAAATAGAAACATCAGCGTGCATGGTATGTAGCTAGACTAAGCATTGCCGAGAATCCCCTCTCTATTTCACACACACACACACACACACACGCGCGCACACACACGCACACACCCGCACACACGCATGCACACACACACGCAGACACACACACACACGCACACACTCACACACACACACACCCGCACATCTACCCACACATACAGACACACACAGAGAGACACACACGCACAACTGCCCACACATACAGACACACGCACACACACACAGCTACACACACATACACACACACGCACACACACACGCACACACACGCGCACACGCGCACAAGCACACGCGCACACGCACACGCACGCACACACGCACACACGCACACACACGCGCACACGCGCTCACACTCACACACGCACACACGCACACACGCACACACACACACACGTACACTGTACAGGGACGTGATGAAAAGGCATGCGCGTTTGGCCTTGGGTTGCAGCTACAAAAGCTGGAAAACCATTGTTCCACTGAGCGTCCCCCTCTGGGTAAGTGAGTCCCTTCAGCTCTGGCTGACACCAGGGCAGGATGCAGAGAGCGAAGCCCCAGAGGAAGATGGGCCATCCCTGGGCGCCTCCTCCGTGCCGTTCGTAGGTGGGGGTGTGGGGGTGGGGGTGTCTCTATGTGCTGGCCGCACCCTCAACCTGGGAGGAGGCACTTTTTAGGTCAGAAGCCCCAAGCTTAGTGGCCATCCCAAGACCCACAGCGAAGTGTGGAGAGCCAGGGTGTGGGCCGGGTGTGTCTCACTGGCAGCCCTCTCTCCGCCTGTGATTCTGGTGCCAGAAGCTGACTTCCAAGAGTAAATGGTTTGCGGGGGGAGGGGAGGGGGTCTTGGAGGAGAGCAGGGAGGGAAACTGGAGGCATCCCCTGGGGAAAGAGGAGGTGTCTGTCTGGTGTCCATCCCTCCCCTTCTCTCTGGAGAGGCGTCAGGGTTCCAGTAAAAACCGCTCCTGGGCCAGGAGGGAAGTGAGGAGGGAAGGGGCTTGTCCCGGGCATAGCGCTGTCCTCAGGCCTCCTGGCCGGCCCGGCAGAGGTTGGCAGAGCTCTGGGCCTGGGAGGCAGCCTGTGCAGCTATTTCCGAGTTAGGAGTGGAGGGCGCTCGTCCTTCTGTCTGGTCGCACTGCACCGAAAGGACTGCACGGAGTGGAGCCACCCTGCCCACACGGAGAGCAGTACCCGGCGAGTCCCACCACCAGGCGCTGCCAGGCTTTTACTCCACCCCTCCCTCTCTGGGGCTCCTCTGTGCCCCAACATCCCTCCGTCATAAGCTACCTGTTTACTTGTCTGTCTGTCTCCCCCACCAGACTGTGGGCCCCTCAGGGGCAGGGACTATGCTCCAAGTGGCCAGTTCCTCCAACTGTCTGGCACATAGTAGGAGCTCAGAAACATCTGTGGAAGCAGGAAAGAAAGGCAAGGAAGGGAGGGCAGGGGGAGAGGAGGGGCTGGTTGTTCCAGAGCTCCGAAAACCAGGGGGCTTGGCATCTGGGCTCAGGCCCCTTCCGCCTCCTTCCTCACCAACTGGCAGGAGACACAGTGGCACCCAGAGCCCGGCTTCCTCAGGCCCGCGCCCTGCCCCTGCCCTTGCCCATGGCTCTGGCCGCTGCTCAGCCACTTGAGCCCTTACCTCAGGGAGAAAAGGCGCTTTTCTCTGACTCAGTTTTTGCTTCTGGATTCAACAGGATCCTCTGATGATGCTCACCCTTCCGGAGCTCTCTCAGGCTCCCCTCCGGCCAAATCCTGTGGACTCTACGCCCCCCTCCCACCCCCCGCCCCGTGAGGGCCAGGCTAGTGGTTCCCTTGTGAATCCTGGTGCTGGCTCTTGGCCTTGGGCATCCTCACTCAGGTGCTCCTGCCTCGGGGGGAGGTGGGGGATGTCCATAAAGTGCCTGGAGCTCAGTAGAGCCCCCTCCCCTTTCATCTCCTCTGTTTGCTGAGGCACAATCCCTGGCTTCTAGACCACCAGACAGACACTGGAAGGGGGAAGATGTCCCTCCGGCAGAGCCTAAATGTCCCGGCTTGACAGCATTCCACCTTGGCCAGTCAGAAGCCAGAGGGGCAGCCACGCCCAGATCCGTGAGCCCTCCAACCTCCTTCCCTATAATCCCCCCTGTTCTTTCTAGAATCAGGTGGGGGTGTGGGACGGCCCCAGTGCCTGTGCACTTGCAGGACCCTTGCCTAGAAGTTCCCTTTCTCATGTGTGTAATGTCTCCCCATCTCTGAAGTCTCAGTTTATACCTCACCTCTCAGAAGCTGTCCCTGACCACAGCCATCACTAATTAACCAGCCCCTTGCCCTTTCTGCATCCTCTAAGAATCCAATCCAGTATGATGCTCATCTCTTCTCTCAGACTGTGAGCTGCTCCAGAACTAAAGGCAAGCACCATAGATCTTCCAGTCTTGTTTGAGGTGAATGGGGGAGATCGATGGGGCGGGGTGTGCATTGGGTTTCTCTCTCCAGTATTTGTGCACAGAGGGAGGGACCCCCAGGGCATGGGGGTGGAGCTGGGGGGAGATGTTGGGGACAGGCTTGGGGGCCTGGATGGCTGAGGAGAATGGGCAGTGGATCAGATGCGGAGGCCAGTTAAACAAGGAGAAGGCTGAACGTCTTCTAACGGAAAAGGAAAATGAAATGACAGGACCCTGGTGTCTGCCGGGCTCAGCGCCTGCTCCCTCTGTCAGCTGTCTCAGGCAGCCTGCGAGATGAATGGCTGCAGCTGAGGCCTGCAGCGGCCCCTCCCAACCCTCTTCCCCCCTTCCCCGCCTCCGACTGCGAGGGAGAATGGCTGTCATCCCTTGCCTCCTCCTGCAGGCCTGCCCTGGCCACTCCTTCACCTGGTCCCCCGCCTTTGGTCCCCTCTCCAATCCCACTGACCTCTCCCTCAGCAGCCCCTCCCCCACCTCCCCTCCCCAGGTGGGCCCAGGCCTAGGGGAAGCTCTGTCCACCTTCTGCACCCCTCAGCCTGCTTCTCTGAAGCCAGAGGGGGAGGCAGAGGCCAGGACACAGGCCGGGGTTTTAGTCTGAGCTTCGGGACCGACCAGGAACATGTCCTCTCGTTTCTCGGGAGGCAGAGGCCAGGACACAGGCCGGGGTTTTGTCTGGGCTTCGGGACCAACTGGGAACATGTCCTCTCACTTCTTCAGGCCTTGGCTCCTCACCCATGTAATGAGAGGGCTGGGCCACAGCGGCGGGCAGTTCTAACATGGTGGTTCCTGGGCCCCGCCATCAGCATCACCTGCAAACTTGTTAGAAATGCAGGTTCTCAGACCCAGCCCCTCCCGACTCAGCCTCTCCAAGGGAGGGGCCAGGCCCAGGTTTGCCCAAGCGCCATCAGCATCACCTGCAAACTTGTTAGAAATGTGGGTTCTCGGACCCAGCCCTCCCAACCCAGACTCTCTGAGGGAGGGGCCAGGCCCAGGTTTGCCCAAGGCCTGCAGCTGCTCCCATTTGAGATAATGGCCAAGCTGAGATTAGAATTATGTACGTGTATGTGTATGTGTATGTGTGTGTGTGTATATATATATATATACTGAGTTTCTTATCATTATCCTGACAGTTAAGACTAAAGTTTCCAGAACCCCCCTCACCTCCACTGTGTACACAATAAGCATTCACCGAGCCCTGATTGGATGCTGGTGTGATGCGGGTGTAGGGGTACAAGGTTATGGGGAGGGCAGGCAGGAAGGCACAGATAAAAAACCGCCCTGCCACAGCATTGCAGCGGGCGTCACAGGCACTTACCAAGGGCAACAGGCACAAGGGAGGAGAGAACACACTTCTGCTTCAGGTGGGAAGGTGTCAAA